GTCAGAGGCAGGAGTCAGGGGAGGGAGAGCCCCTGCCCATCCCCAGCCTCATGCTCTCCTCTCCCCACCCCCAGAGGCCTCCGTTCAGCATCGACCTCTTCAGCCAGGAGCAGCTGGCACTCATCAGCGACTACGTGGTGAACACCTACTTCCGCCACTTCAAGCTGTACAAGTACGCCTTCACGCCGCAGGTATGGCGCCCCCGGGAGTGTTAGCCACACCCAGCACCCTGGGGATCCTGCATATAATGGTGCCCCCAGGGGTCCGTCACTCCCAGGACCCACCGTGTACCTGGCCTGCCCCACATCTCCAGTGGGGTTATCCACACACAGTCCCCCTTCCTGAGTCCTAACAGGAGCAGGGTCAACATAGCCCAGCCTGCCCGTATGCCCAACCCTAGATAGCCTCTGCAGCTTCCAGGACTGCTGTGCTCTCACCTTGCAGGTCCGGCTGGACATATCGCTGTCCTATGTGGGACTGCCGGAGCCAGAGCCTGCTGCCGAGCTGGGTGAGTGAGTAGTGCTCACTGAATCCCCCCCCCTTCAAAACCACCCAGCCACGGGAGGGAGCGCGGAGAGGGGAGGGAGGGGGGAATGTTGGGGGCTTCTTTCCGCTGAAAGGTGAAGATTCTCTAACACGGGATAGGCAGTAAACAGGACACACGTGAGTCAGCAGGTTAGGCTGCCAGAGGCTTTGTTTATCTGCAGGTCTGGCCACTCTCAGCTCCCGTTGGCTGTGGCTCGCTCTTCCTGGCCCATCGGAGCTGTGGGAAGCAGTGTGGGCTGGGCCACCACTTCCTGCGGCTCCCATTGGCTAGAAACGGCAAACCCCAGTCATCAGAAGCTGGAAGCAGCCGGACCAGCAGATAAATAAAGTCTCCGGTGGCCCAATGGCGCTAACTTGGTGACCCGCATCTGGCCCACAGGCCGCATATTGCCCAGCCCTGTTCTAATGCAGAACAGTTCCCAACCCCAGAACACCGAGGCAGGGGCGTTTTGATCCTAGCAGAGCAGGGCACCTGTGGGTGCTGGGCAGGACCAGCTCCCAGGCACTGCAGGAAGGAGGGGGGCTTTAGGGGACACAGGAGGGTTGCGCATTCAGGGAACGAAGCCACGCCTGCCATGATTAACCAGTGTCTTCCCCCCCAGGAGAGGTGGGGGACAGTGTGAAGGTGCCGGTCTCCCCAGTGGAAGAGGAGGAAGCTGAGAGTGGAACCACAGCCCCCAGTGAGAGTAAGAAATCACAGCTCCTCAAGGAACCAGATATGGGGCTTTCCCCACTGGGGGGCAGGGGAGGGGCCTCCAGCATGGCCCAAGGGCCCCATTTCAGCCCCAAGGTGGGGGAGGGGTTGGCTGGCCGCTTTCTTCACCCCGCTCTGCCCTGCAGGCCCCACGGCCCCGCTGCGGGAATACATCTCGGCTCAGCTCTGCCAGGAGCTGGCCCAGCTGCGGCTGGCGATGGAGGAGCAGCTCCGGGCGAGCGAGGAGCAGTTCAACACCAAGCTGGCCCTGCTGGAGAAGACATCCACCTCCCCCAAGGGGGGCGGCCGAGGCCACCGGAAATGAGGCGAGGGGGGAGTGCAATAAAGGGCTCCACATGAATGGTGGCTCCGTATCTCACTGTCCTGCGAGACTGCACCCTGCCGGGGGAAATCCCGGTCCCAAAGTCCTCTCCCCCCGCTGCCCCTCTGTGGGGAGACACGCCCCAGCCCTGGGTTCCCCCAATGGGGGGAAGGAGCTTCAGTCATGGAGGGGTCACAATCGATTTTTATTCTCATTTACAGGAATTCAAACAAGGCAAAAATAAACGTTAATCAAGCTACATGAACAGGGCTGGCTGCACCCAGTGGAGGGGGAGCACTCGGCCCCCCTTCCGCCAGCGGGGAAGGGGGGACATTGGGCCCTGTCTGCTCCAGGGCACAACACTGCCCCAGTACAGAAAGCCAAGGGGGGGAGGATGCGAGCTGCCCCTGCATCCCAGACACACGCGCACAGCACAGCAGACTCCTCCCCTACGAGGGACTCCCCCTCCCTGCCACACACACAGGGTCCCTCCATCTCTCCCAGGCAGGGCTGCCCCTTCCTGCCCCCTATCCTGGCCAGACACTGGGATCACCCAGCGATCCCGAACAAACCTGCGTCCGGGCCCCCGGGCACATTCTTCTATCCCCCCAGTGGTCCCTGCTATGCCCTGGGGCCTCCCACCGCTCAGGGGGTCCCCGCAGTGCAACCATCTCCCCCCCTCGCATGCAGTTCCCTGGCAACGGGAGGCCCCCCCGGGAGGCCCCCCCGCCCAGCCTGGTCCCTGCCTCCTAG